ATTGAGGAGGTCTTCGAAGTATTTTGCCCACCGGCCCACAACGTCCTGAGTCGAGGTCAGCAGCACACCATCCCCGCTATAAACAACAGTGTTGGTGCTGCACTGCTTCCCCCTCCTGAGGCCCCGGACGGTGAACCAGAATCGCTTCGAAGCCGGGCGGAAGTCTTTCCCCGTGGCCTATTTGAATTCCTTCCATGCCAGAGTTTTTGCCTCAGTGACCACCCGAGCCGCATGCCGGTACTCATCAGCTGCTTCTGGAGTCCCACAGGCCAAAAAGGCTCGATAGGACTCCTTCTTCAGCCTGACGGCATCCTTCACCGAATGTGTCCATCAATGGGTTCAAGGGTTGCTGCTGTGACATGCACCGACAATCTTGCGGCCACAGCTCCAATAAGCCGCTTCGATAATGGAAGTGCAGAACATGGTCCACTCAGACTCAATGTTCCCCACCTCCTCATGTTCAAAGCTATCCCGGAGATGGAAGTTAAATCTCCATCTCACATCAGTCTTTTCCAGATGTTCCCAGCAGACCTTCACTATACGTTTGGGCCTGCCAGGTCTGACTGGCGTCCTCCCTCTTCACCGGAGCCAACTCACCACCAGGTAGTGGTCAGTGGACAGCTCCACACCTCTCTTCACCTGAGTGTCCAAGACGTGGCCACAGATCCGACAAAACTACGACAATGTCGATCATCGAACTGCGGCCTAGGGTCTCCCGTGCCAAGTGCACATATGGACACCCTGATGCTTGAACATGGCGTGCACGTTTTAATAAAAATGAAAAAGAAACATGACATTGTGAATTTTATTGAAGGGTATCAGAGTAAAGGAGGCTGAATACACAGGCAAACTTCAGATTTATATTAATGTGGTCTGAAACGGAGTCAAGACAAAACCCAACAAATGTTTGTGGTTGGAACGAGACAAAATGGAAAAATAAAAGCTCGAGCTTCTCTCCTGAACATTCCTGAACACAGTCATAATTTTTGTTAAAGCTTTAACAAAACTTAAGTAAACTCTCAAGCCATTTGTATAAAATCAATGCATACATACCACAGCTGCTGTTTTTTTATTTTATTTTCACACTGCGTTTAGATGAATTGAAGGAGTTGCAGCATGGACAAAGTTTCCTGTTTTGTATTCCTACATTTTAGTCCTCAATAAAAAGAACAGAATACTTTTTATATTAAATGAGTCCTTCCTCACTGGATCTGTGTGGCCAGACCAGCTAAGAGTTGCATCATCATCTACTTTGACAATTGACCCATCAGTCATCTATTGGAGCTCCACTTAAACTCCATATTATTCATAAGTCTGGTAGATTTAGGCTTAAAGTAATCTTTGTGGGGGGATCCAGAGTTCCAACTAGAATTCCATAGCGAATCTTTGGAAGGAGCAAAGGTGATGGCATGAAGGGTTTTCAACTTTAGACTATCATCACTAAAAACAAGTCATCAGATTCCCAGTGGAAACATGGGGCAGCTTGATGGCACAATCTTAATGTTCAGTTTTTTACAAAATTATTAAGGCACTAATAACTAAAAAAAGTAAAAAGAATGTGTTGAATCATGAGCAGTTTGGAATATCTCAACTTGTTAAATCAAGTGTGATGGGTATTTCAGCAGGAAAATGATTGAAACGTGAGGCTCAGTCAGTACGGAAATGGTTCATCACACACAAATTCAATCTGCTCATTCCCAACAAGAAATCTTTAAAAACCTCTAGGGTTTTAAATATTTTGAGAGAGCATGTGAAATCCTACTCTCTGCATGGATGTATATCCATCCATCAGAAAGGATGGATGGATGCCTTATGATATTTGTGGAACAACTGTTAATTTCCTTAAGTTTTGATTTTCCTTCCACACAATTTTTTTTCTCAAACTAAAAATTAAAATTTTCAAAAATGAACTCATTTTAAAGCCAGCATATAGCTGGGATGGCACTGTATATGTTATTACATATACAGCATACAAATTTGAATAAAGCAAATTGTACTGAAATCTTGAGATCTATTTTCATCACAGTACTTGCATGTAGTGTCCTGAGCCATATCTCAGCTGCTTAACCTGTAAATTATGTATACACCAGGCTCAGCTCTACAAGCCCTGCTACATAGTGATCTTTTTTTTTTTACAAAGATATCAGCGTATTCCCTATCTTATCAACTTTAATCATTTTTACACGTAATATTTAATTGCATTATTTTTCATCATTCCGCCTTATCACGAGGTATATTTTAGTCGTGATAAAACAGAGGAAACCATGCATGAATTTGGTCTTCCTGTTTAGAGGCTTCATCTGTTTTCATGGATCCATGTAGACCCGCTGCCTTTCATTCCGACTCCATTCTCCAGAAAGCTGAGATGCTGACCACTTTCCATGCTCTGTGCGATAACTCGGCTGTAGGAGGAGGCCTGAGATAAACCACAGCATCACAGGCTGACATATCGCCATAATAATGGATGGCTGCAGTCTTACCTTCCGGCCTGCCGGAGAGGACCGGAGGATAGACGACGCCGATCGGGCTTCTACGGCGACAGTATCCGCTGAAAGTAGCTTCTCTCCGGCTATTGCGAGGGAAGAAGAGGCGTAGATGACGAATAGGTGTTTGTCGGTCGGCACTCCCCGGCGTTCCTCTCAGACTGCGACTGGATGCTGGCTGCGCAGCTCGGAGAGTGAGAAAGACGAGCTGCCTGATTTGACTATCAAACGAGGCTCAAGACACCTGTATGCAAATCCCGGCTGCGCTACGGCTGGAAAGTCAGGCAAATCAGGACGAGAGCCGAAGGGAGAACAAGCAGGAAATTCGTTTTCTCTTCTAATGAGGCTGGTAATACAGGACAGGCTCCCAGAGACCACCAAGAGAATGAGAAATAGTTGGTTTAATACTTAATTCTTGAGTAATTTTTTTATGAATACTGACACAGTGGCGCAGTTGGTAACACTGTTTCCTTGCAGCAAGAAGGTTCTGGGTTCGAATCCCGGTGGATTCTTTATGCATGGAGTATCCATGTTCTCCCTGTGCATGGCAGGTTCTCTCCATACTCTGGCTTCCTTCCACAGGCCAAAAACACGACTGCTATATTAATTCTCCTTAGGTTAATGGTTGTTTGTCCTGTGTGTTGCCAAGGTGACCCCTGCCTCTCATATGAAATGTCTCACTGGAGGAAGGTTTGCCCCATTACTCAGATGTTTGAAGGTGCAAAAGCATCAATAAGATTAAAATAAATAACTTTCTACTGTTTCATTCTTAGTATGGACTAAGAATAATGGACAACTAAAATATATATATTTTTAAATAACTTTACATGGAGAATTGTTCACAGTTCAGTTTTGATTGACCCCTGTAAGACTCAGAACAAGCTTTTTACTTTTCAAAAATTTGAAAACATATAAAGCTTCATTAGAAGCAAACTTTAAAATTAAGAAGAAAAAAAAATCAACAAAGCACTTTATACACTGTTCAGTGGTTTATTCAGCAAATACAACAGGAAAAAAAAGGTTCTTCTTCAGATTAGATCATTCCAGACTCCATGCGATTGTGTTTCGTCAGCTTGTCAGAATCAGATTTGAATGCAAACAGTTGCATTCCAGTAGGAGACAAATACAATTTAAGTTGGAACTGTAGCGAGGATGATAGAGCAGAAGAGATTAAAGCACAACTAACCCACTAATCATATGTTTTGCTGATAAAACAGTGTACACTGGTTATTTAGGGTTATATTTTTACGGCTCTGTGTGAACTTTGGGGTTAAAGTTAGCAGGTGAAGCTAATAGCAACTAATGGCCGCTCTCTCTGCCCGCTCAGCACAGATTGCAGCTGAGCTGCAATCTGTCTGTTTTAAACAATCTGTATAAAATAATGAAGAAATAGACCACCAGCCTCAGAATCAAGTTAGAATCAGGAGCTGTGGTTCAGCTCTCATAGTAGATGTTAGAAAAGTTACCGTATTTTCCACACTATAAGGTGCATCAGATTATAAGGCGCACCTTCAATGAATGGCCTATTTTAAAAGTTTTTTCACATATAAGGCGCATAGAATAGACCCTCAGTAGAGGCTGAAGTTACATTATGCATCCACTAGATGGAGCTGCACTAAAGAGAATGTCAACAAAACAGTGTCTCCAGCGAGGAGACCCTTCTGCGACTGGGCCGGGGCGTGGCCGGACGATGGTCACCCTTCTCAGTTCGCGCACAGCATGTTCATGGAGAACGTGGTGCTAAATGACCTGCAGACGACCTGATTCTAGACGGTCGGTAGGTAGATAGGTCAGTCAAACTTTATTAATATATTACAAACCAGCGTTCTGACAACTATCCCAGCATGCACCGCGCGCTTCTTCTTCTACGGGTGAAAGTGAAGTCGGCGGCTGCTTGCCGTAGTTGCTAGACCTGTTGTGACTCAATATTGGTCCATATATAAGGCGCACTGGATTATAAGGCGCACTGTCAGCTTTTGAGGAAATTGAAGGTGCGGAAAATACAGTAGCTCATTCTGCCGTCATTGGCTTTAAATGTTTCAATCACCAGCAAAGAGCCCAATAATATAAGGCAGCAGGAAATACTACAAATGCTTTTTGACATTGAGTATTTTTTGTCTTTTTCAGACCAGCCATGAATTATAATTTCCTATTGGAGAGTTCTGAAAAAAATCTCTACAGCCATTTAGAAAAGTTTATAAATACAGCTATAACGTGGATATGTTAATAGAACTTCTGATCACAGCCTCACTCATCCCCACACTCAAGAATTAGCTTTGCTGATTGCATGCAACTTCAGAGTTTACCATAAAAGGGAGTCCCAGAATGAGCGGTGGTCTTCTGCGTTGGCTTTCAAGCTATTAATGGGGAACAAAAGTCTCTGTTAGGATTAAAACAATCTGTATAAAATAATGAAGAAATAGACCAGCAGCCTCAGAATCAAGTTGGAATCAGGAGCTGTGGTTCAGCTCTCATAGTAGGTGTCAGAAAAGTTAGCTTGTTCTGTCATCATTGGCTTTAAATGTTTCAATCAGCAGCAAATGAACCAACCTCTCTCTAACCCATCTTCATCCAGACATCAGTTTTCACTCCCATTTTCACCTGTAAAAAGATTTTTCAAAGTTATGTCAAAGTGACAGCTCAGTGAAATAATGCACTCATAAGCTAGCCTCAGAATAAAGTCAGAATCAGGAGCTGTGGTTCAGCTCTCATAGTAGGTGTCAGAAAAATGAGTTCATTTTGTCATCACAGGCTGAAAGCGGCCAAGACCGCATTTTTATGAACACAAGACTCACCAGCTGATCCACAGCAGATTTAATCCTGGGATTATACCATCATCCTTGGATTGAATTCATCCAGTTTAGACCACGTTCACAGCCTTTTACATCCTCATCTCTCAGTCTGTGAACAGAAACAAGGCCAAACTAGATTTTCTAATGCTACACAATTCAAACAAAACTTGACTAAGCATTAACATTTAAAAAAAAAAAAAACTTAATTATACTGACAAGAGCCCAATAATGTGAGGCAGCAGGAAATACTACAAATGCTTTTTGACATTTAGTATTTTTTGTCTTTTTCAGACCAGCCACGAGTTATAATTTCCTATTGGAGAAAACAGAGTTTTTAAACGACATGATGTACAACTCAGCATAATCATTTACTAAATAAAAGTTACTTTTTATTTAATGGTAAAACAAAAACGTATTAAACTGAACTTTGTGCTGCACAAGATGCCTTGAAATTAATTTGTTGATGTTTTATATATTCAGATAAGACATCTGATTTTGATATAGATGCTGTAATCTGCTATTTATTATTGTGTTGTGCACCAGTCAGGTCCATTTACCGGTTCTGGTCTTGTGTGAAATTCTGTCCCCCTGTGTAACAGGAGCGCGCACTCAGAGGCGCAAAAAGTGGGTATGCAGCGCATGCAACGTATAGGGGCGCTGCACCAGAGGGGGCGTCCAAACCCCGTCTGGAGGGGGCGGCGCCCCGATGACGCCTTCGCATACACTTCACCTCGCGCACATGTAAATGTAAATGTACCGAGTTTTATCTTTCACGTGTCTTCGTCTGGGGGGTAGAGCGACTGTATTACGTACCCTCCTTTGGGGGGGCGCCGATTTATGTTTTCGCATGCACCTGAATAATATGTAGTTGCGCCCCTGCGCGCACTGAAGCCAGAGAGGCGGCGCCGACCATTTTCATGGCGCTTCTGATTGATTTCTCGGTAAAACAACTGATATAATTATGTCAAGGTTGTGCCTTTCAGTTTAATCGGCAGCTGCTGTTACAAAAAGCAGTAACAAAATTGTCAAATAAATAAACTTAGTCTTGTCTGGACGTCTTCTTACAAAGTTTTGTGTTGCGTTTTTAATCGCCAAGAGAACTGGTCTTTTTCAACCTTTTGTCACTTAAGCCAGACAAATAAACGTGAGTCACCAAACAGGGTTTTCCATCACACTGTGTGTATTTATAATTTTTCATGGCTGATAGCAGGACATGAAAAATAGACTTTCTGAAATGATGAGAATGGTTTTCAGGAAAATCCCATTCTGATGTAAAATATTACAGATTGTTGGATAAAATAAATTTCTAGTTAATGTTTGGTGGCTCAATCATACCATCAAATACACAATTATTAAGAAATTAAACATTTGCTCCTTATTTGCCAAAGCTAATTATTTTTCACAAACTCTTTAACTGTGCCTATGCCTCTTTGTGAACAAGAAATCTTGTAAATTCGGAAACATTTTATCATTTTGTCAAAGTTAAGGGGGAACCCAAATATTTTAGCTGCCTGAAATCCAGCGCTGGGCTCCACTCAGCTCACCTTAGGGGTGACACCAAGTGAAGCAAAGATTGCAGCGCGATTTGGCCTCAGTTTCTGTTATGTGCAACACGTGTAACAGACCACCGACTTGTGGTTATGTAAGCCTGCAGCTGTACGCATGCAAGCAGCTAATCATTTATGCATAATATTGGTTAAGCAAATCTTTGAGTTCTATTAATTACGCATTTCAAAACCCTGATAAGTGTAGATTAAGGTTTAAATTGTGTAGACAGAAAAAGCGACTGAATTTAGGGCATTTAATGCATTATGAAACTTTATCAAAGACGGAAAACCGAAGTTGACCGGGTTTCATATCAAACACTAAAAGTTTCAAGCCCATATTTTAAAAGTAAATGAAACCACAATTTATTACTTCAAAGCAATCATGATAACATTGTGTGAGCCGTTCTGGCAGGAGAGCCACGTGCCAACACCACGTTGACTTAAAACTTGAACACGTGAAAAATACTCACCGGTTTTCAGTCGGTACACTGCGGTAACCCACGGCAGAAAGGAAAACTATAAAATGGCAAATTATAGTAATTTTTAGAAACCAACAACTCTTTTTAGGAACAGCTCCGCTCTCTTTCCATGTTGCTGTGAAAAGAAGGAACTTTTACCTCACCGCAGTAACTTATTGGCTTCCGTAGCAAAAGCCCCTCCCATCTGACCTCGCTGCCATAGACATGAACACGTAGACGCCTCATGGAGCAGGTCGGCCCGTTGCTGCGTTACGTCACAGCGTCCGCCATATTGAATGTGGAATATGTGCCAGTAAGCTAATACAAGTAAATGGACCGAACTTCAGAAATTCCCGTTTTACAAAGTATTTTAAATTAATTCCTGTCATTGGCACATTTTCTCACACACATTAATATTTTTGGCAAAGAAATGACTATAGACAGAGTTTCTAACTTTTGATGTGATTATTTAATTGTTTTGGGGCATTTCTGAATAAAAAGCACAATGTTTTTATCTGATAGAAATGATTCTGATAATTTTTATGACATTGATGAACAGACACACTTTTACAGTGTTTTATTAAACCACATATTTATATGATTCCATAATTTAATGTATATTTTAACGTTTCAAGACAAGAAACTGTCAGGTTCTGTGTTTTTTATGTTTTGTGTTTGCTTTTGTTTGAGTTTATTTTCTTTGGAGCACCTGCCGTTCCCCATAGCATCCACAAGATGCCGCCAGAGTTCAGAGCCCCTGGGAAGGTGCGGGGGTAACCCCGCAGGCACACCTGCAGTTCGTTTGAGGGGATGGATTGAGGATTTAAGCAGCAGTTGGACAACTCTTCTTCGCCTGAGTGTTGCTTACCTTGGTAGAAATCGCTTCAGAGAAAGGCTCTCTGTTTCCTACGTTATACTAACTCCTTGTTGTCTTCCACGCCAGGTAATCCTGTTGTCGCTACATCATCCCTGAGTGCGTCGTCTGACCGGAGGCTCTGGGAGAGCTGTCCCGCTGTCGTGAGTCACTCTCCTCGTGTGTTCCTCCCCGACGCCACTGGTGGTACCAGTCGGACGCCATCCCTCGTGTGCTCGCCCTTCCCCCTGACGTCGGTCCGTCTCCAGAGGTCTCCCCTTCGGGACGCAAGAGGATCTGCCGGTCCGAGCCCGAACCTAGCTGGAGAAGAGAGGAACGACTGGACCGGATGGTACCCCGTTCGCTCCGTCTCTACTACCTGTCCGCCCTCCGACGAAGCCTCACAATTCAGTAGTGATGGGCAAATGAAGCCTCATGAAGCAATGAACCTTCTCAGCCCTTTGCTTTGCAAAAAGGTTCGTTACTCGATGCTTCATTCATTGCTCTATAGTGACATCTGCTGGTGAAACTATAACAGTCTTGTCACTCAGCATACTTCCAAAAATTACTAAATGCAATATTGTCACAAAGTTTTCATCAAACTCATGTTTAGCAACTGGATAATCAATGAAACCATATTTAATTGTCATATGTTTTAATTATTAAAATTATTTGTAACCAATCTAATCCTGGTTTATGTTGAACGTCAGTGGTTGTGTTGGTTTCTTTTATGTCATAGAAGGATTTGACAATAAAGACAATTGATGTTTTAATGTCTTGAGAGTGCAGTGTCTGTTGGGGCGTTCACTTTTTCTTGGATTTCTAATTGGCTCTGATCCCTTATATTTGGCTACATGTTGAATTTTAGTTCTGCAACAGGATTAAATCTGTTTCTGCTGTGCAAGACTGATATATCTTTGCTAATCAGACTACAAATAATAGTGGAACTTTGCAGAAGGTGAGAAATTGGGACGTTGAGGGTTAATTATTGTTATCTAAGAAGAATTTTATTGTGAGGATAATCTCAAAGTATTCTCAGATGTCAGATTTTCCTCTTGCTGGCTCCATTTCAGACAATCAAGTTTATTTGTGTAGCACGTTTCAGCAACAATGCAGTTCAAAGAGATTTACATCATAAAATCACAAAAATATTGTTATTGAAAAAACAACATAATCTACAATTGAGAAAACCAGTAACAAACATTTTGATGAGTGCCATCAATATACATCAAATATGTTGGTCAATGTTCATTTTATTTGGCCACTGAAGACAAATATCATGTGATGCGACCAAATGGACAACAACCCATGACACAGTAAGGCTCATCGCGCTTTTATTTTGAAAACCGACACGCAAAATGAAGCGGTCACGTGACCCATGCAATGCGAGGCCTCCTTTGCCAGTCACGTGGTTTTCAGCAAGACTACACAAGCCTCGAAGCGGGGCTTCATCGGCCACGCCCCCTTTTTACTCGGTACAAGCCTCGAAGCCTGGATTCAGATGGTCCATCACTACAATTCAGTACTCTGTTCACGACTTCACCAAGTAAGATACCATCCGATTCATTTCTGGAAACCTCTTACCATTCCTCTCTAACCCGTTGTTTCTGGCCGACAGTAAGACGACCTGGTCAGCCGTTCCAGCACACACTCCCAATCCCTTTCCCCTGGAATCAAACTTATTGTACACTTACCGGACTCTTCCTGATTGTGTTCTTGCATGTGGGTTAAAAAGCTAAATACCAACATGACAGAAACAAATAATTTTCTTCTATTTATTTTTTATACATTATTGAGAAATAACTTTTGATTTATAAATCTGTCATTGTCAAACATTAAACTACATATTTTTTATTTGTATGTGGCAGCAGGGCGATCGGAGCTCCTTAAGTCCT